TTTCAGAAAGGTCAGAGTAGATGGAAGGTATTTGTGTAGGATGCATGTCAAGAATGGGACTAAACAGGCCTTTAGTGGCAGTCGCACTAAGCTTTCTGCCGGGCAGCATTCTTCCTCCGTACCCTATCCCATGAGCCTTTGCTGCTGGGACAAAGTCCTCTTTGTGTGCCCATGGCTCTTGGCTAGAGCACACAGAGCTTTGAAATTGTGTTTGAACGATGGGATTTTCATTTCTAGCCCTCCTTTTCGTGCTTGCTCTCCCCCCTCTTTGCTTTCACTCTGACTCAACCCGCACCCTCCCCACCAAACCCACCTTTCTCTTAGCAACTGGCCGAGTAGGACGGTATTGCTCTGACACTAGCACTATTTGTGTTACCTCTTCATTTTTATATTGGATCACAGCATCTATTTCTCATGAGAAATTTCAAAAATCCTCGGACACATTTTTGTGTAACTGCAGTTTAGGTTGCGCGCTGAATATTTAGCTGTAAAACTTTGGGGAATTCATTTTTAAAGACGCTTCTAATTTACAGCTACATATTTGCATTCTTTGACTCTGTTATAGTAACTTTGGGTGAATCACAACTCAAAATAATCCAGATTTGAGAACTGGTGCAGCTCGTCAGTCTAGCCTCATCATTTAAGCCACTTTTCTTCTGATTGTCTGCCTCTGATAATCAGGAGGGTTGAACTAAGATGACCATATTAAGTGTATCCCCTCTTGTTGACATCATGCAGAGCCAGGAATAGAAAGAATTATGTGAAACAGCATTTTATACCAGTCTGAATTCCGAGCTTCCAGCTCACAGCATGTCCTCCTCCCCAAAGGGAGTTTTTCCTCCCCACTGTCACCAAATGTGAACATCTACTCAGGTCTACATCACCGTTTGATTCTTGATTCTTCCAAACTGCATGTCAAAGGATCCTTGGGCAAGATGCTGAACACTGAGATGCCCCTGGTGCATTCATTAGAGGGCGAGTGTGTGCATGAATGTTAGACAAGGCGTTTGGAGAATAAAAGCGTTGTATGAATGTGTGTGATTGGGTGAATGAGGCTGGTAGTATAAAGCATTTTGAGTGCTCAATTAGAGTAGAAAGGCCCTATGTAAGTACCGGTCCACTTACCATTGTACGAGGAAACGTGTGACAGGAAATAGAGCCATTCATAAAAGGCCCTTTAAATGTGTTCCTGGCCTTATTATGAGGATTGTAGATGCCCTCAAACACCCAAACGTGCTTCTTTCGTTTCCCTTGTGTTAATTTCTTTGCTTGTGCAACATAGTTGATGATAAATGTATATGTAGCTCTTATTAGTAAAACCAAGATGTAAAGGCTGTAACTTAGAAAACGGATAGGCATAGTAGTGGATTACAGTTGTATACAACTGCTTGCATGTTGGAAAAAATTCCTCTGGAAGCAAGTCTCACCACTAGGCGGCCATCTTGAAACTGCTCCGGGAACTTATTTGTATTAAGGTGAGGTTGGCCGTTATGAATGTCTCTCCTCCACAGCATGTCTTTTATCCTGTCTTCCTTCTCTCTCCCCAACCGGTCACAGTAGATGGCCCCGCCCCTCCCTGAGCCTGGTTCTGCCGGAGGTTTCTTCCTGTTAAAAGGGAGTTTTTCCTTCCCACTGTCACCAAAGCGCTGCTCATAGGGGTCATATTATTGTTTGAGTTTTCTCTGTATGTATTATTTTAGGGTCGACCTTACAATAAAAATTGCCTTGAGGTGACTGTTGTTGTGATTTGGCGCTGTATAAATAAAATAAATTTGAATTGTATGTATTTTTTTATTTATTTTATGTAAGTGGCTTTTCCCCCTAGAAATTGCACTTCTAGCACCATCTTAATTTCCGTTCTGGATTATTTGAGAGCCATGCCTCTCTCTCAACATTTCTCTGCTGTTAGCTTGTCCTAACCCATGCTAAAGCTGATTTCTCCTAATGCTTGGCTTCATCTGGAGTGTCTTTACTTCGAATTCACAGGAAAGAAAATAAATACTTACTGTCCACAGTTTGGTTTGTTACACTTAATGCCACTTTAAAATATTTCACGATGATTTTTGATTAAATATTTGCACATTTGCTGCTCTATTAATTTTTTTTGCCGCTTCTTTTTTTAACCTGAAGTACCTGAAAATTACAGCAGTAGATCCTCGGTGTGTGGCCGCATCACTTGGCTCTTTGCACCCACCTGCCTGCCATTGTTTGCATGTAATTTTGTCCATACAGGTATTTAAAGCTTGTTTTAAATGTTTACTATAATCAGCCTAAATCGCTCTGGATGTGAGTGTCAGCTGAATGTGTGAAACACACGTGTGCTTTACTCCCTCTAAGATGTTATTAAACAGGTTGTGGTGTCTTAAGCTAGTTGCAGCTTGTAGAAATGAGTGAGTGTGTGTATGTGTGTGTATGTCTGTGTGTGTGTGCCAGCAGACAGTTTATCCCCTAACTAGTAATCTTACAGCTGCCTGTCTGGCTCATACCTGCTGCTGTTCCTGTGCCACAGAAAACACAATCGGGAAACTGCAGCCCTTCACCCCCTTTACTGTTGGGCCATGAATGAATGAATGAGTCAGTGTGGTGGATGATATGATGTTAATTGTGTTTGCCAACATCTAAATTTGTCCTGCAAAGTAAAATCCAGACTCTTATAGTTAACTTGTAATTGGACCATGGTGGTGGCTTCAGAAGCTCCTACAGACTCAGAAGATTAAGAAACAAAAGCAAATTTTTACTAATTACCTGTTGAGAAATAAAGATGCTCCATGGTAAATATATCCATCACTGTAGTAGCTCTCTGGTGCTACAGTATTAGCAAGCTGTTGTGTAATCTGATCAGCTGGCTTTGCTATCACACAGAGACACACACACATCTGTGCTCTTAAGGCGATTCATTCCTGGATCTTTACCGTAAATCCAAGTCTTAACCCTCAAAAAAGCCACTGAAGGAATGGTCACTGAAAAGACCTGGGACTCAAAGTGATGCTAGTAACAACAGGGATGCAAGAACACCTCATTAGTGATGTCACATAGAGTAAACTCGCTGTCCATGTTTAACTTTAATCACTGCCTCCTAATATTTACTAGTTTTCTAAGTTTTGCATATAGTTGTACATACACAACTTCATTTTCAAAACCTTAATTCAGTCACGCTGTGATCATTGTTTCTGTTATGTTGTGTTTTGTTGTGACTTCGACGCTGTGGGTGATGTGGTTCCAAGAGTTTGTGTGACAGTTTAGCTAGCAACAGCCTGCAGAGATGAATGTTGAGGGTTAATGTTGCTGAATGTTGATAAATGTTCATAGTTTCTTAACAGGTAATAATTGTGTAGAAACACTTAGCTCGCTATGAAAAACAGGAAATTACTGCAACATTTTCCTGAGTTTACACTTGCAAACTAGGGTAGTATAAAATGCATTTACCTTTAAACTTTGAAGCCATTTACTTTGGTAAACCATTAAGTTCATGCGACTTCTTAAGTGCTTCACATTCAAATACAAAAGTTAGCATAGATATATTAAATTGAGAGTATTTACTGATTTACGCAGCTTATGTTTTGCAGTGTACAGTATTATCTACTAGTTTTGTGAGCAAATGTTTGCTTTTTTGTTTTTTTGGGGGGATCTGGGCTAAAATCTGAAGTCTCACATGTCAGGTCGCAGGAAAGCCTGGAGAGCCATCAGAACAGATTAATAGAAGCTGTAAAATCAAGCCCCCAACACCACATTAATCGGTTATTGAATAACCACGTTATCTGTCTAACTGCGATGCGTGCTGCCAGCTAATTAAAAGCCAGGGCTATTCATTCTGGATTTAAACATTTAAAAGGTGGAGCCCAAGACAAGCACAAAAAATATCAGCAAATTAGAATTACAGCCCCGCACTATTCACGCCACAACAATACTGAAGCAAACGTTAAATATTAAGATCAGCAAAATGTTAAATGAAGACATGATCTTAAATGTAACATGAGCTTCTGCATTGAGCAGTACAGAGTCTGAATTTCAGTGACATTTGCTTTAAAAAAGTTCAAGGTGTAATTTTGACATGTGATACCAGCCAAAGGACAGAGTTACTAAATAATAGTGATTATTAATGGTAGTCGTGCTCTTTTTATGTCTCACTGTTCAGTTTTAGGCACTCGTGGATACTGTGCAGGTTTCTGGTGTCTGTGTCTATAGTGATGTTGTGTGGGTCCAGTACAAAGTAGGGTTCAGAAGCAATGTTCAGATATTGTCTGTTTCACTCAGTGAAAGACGCTGTTGTCACGTCGACTGTTTGCACCATGTTTAATAGTGAGGAGTATTACACCGTTATTGTTCCTGCTGGAACTGTGCTGGGTTCACTTATGTGTCACTCTCTAAATATTCAAATGAGAAGACAAGAGGAAGGAAAGCCAAGCCTGAGCTGAAGAATGGACCAGTTTGTGAACCATTTCCTAATTGTTAATGAGGGGCTTCAGGACAGCTTGCCAAGGCTGGAGGGCCAATGGCGAAGAACTGTTTGAAAAGTGAAGGGGGGTTGGGGGGGTGGACTGGGGCTAGCTGTTGGGCCACTGTCACTGAGGGGGACCCTAAACCCAATCAGCCCCCTCCTACCTGCTTCACAAAGTGCTGGAGCAGGCAACTGAGAGCCGCTGTCACTTCCACCGAAGATTTTAATGAGGGTCTAGCTGGTGCTTTGGGACTGTGGTGAGCCTGAGACACTTGCAGACTACAGTCTGTTAAGCAAACGCTGTGTCAGCTGACTTGGAGAGCAAAGGGGGGTCAGATTTTAAAGATGTCCAACAACAACAATAATCAAGAAGAGAAGGAGGAAAAAGAAGAGGACGCTGAAGATAAAAGAGAGGAGGTCACAGTGAACACTGCGCTGCTTCCACCTCCTACTGAGGTCAATGTGAAGAGTCCAGCTGAGGACGAAAAGCCAGTGCCCAAGCCCTTGCCCAACGGGCACCACTGCCAGCCTATGAACCTCAGTATCTTTCCTCTCTCCACAGTCTCACCAGCAGCAGAGAGGATTCGCTTCATCCTAGGTGAGGACGACGATGGCCCGGCACCCCCACAGCTCTTCACTGAGTTGGATGAGCTCCTGTCAGTGGATGGACAAGAGATGGAGTGGAAGGAGACGGCCAGGTAAGATCCTCTTTGTGTGTATCTGCTTTGTTAAAATCATATCCTTTCACGGAGTCACTAAAAATGTGAATAAAAATGATGAAAAACCAGTCTCACATTAAGTTTTTATCTCAAAATGAATGAATATATGTTTTTTATGGAAAAACAGTGAACAGACATTTGAAAACAGCTCCAAGTTTAAAACTGAGCTCAGAGTTTTACTGGTTTCTTCTGAGTGGCTCTCTAGTGGGACACACTGGGACAGAGATGGGATGATTGTTTATACATAATTAGCAGTGGATGAGTGAAGTTCTTTCAGGAGGAAACAGAGTCTCTGGACCGCTGCTCGAGGCACCCAGTCAGCGATTCATTATCCTAAACTCAGACATACTGTAGAAGTTTTGATTCACTGTTGTTTAAACAGTTTGCAGAAGTACTGCTGACATTTTTTAGTGCACTTTAAAATTGCTTTTAATTAAACTCAGTGAAGCTTTTAATTGCTAAGTTCTGCTTTAAATCTAGTTGACTATCGTTTTAAATTTGGCCTTTTTGCCAGCGTTTCTAATGACTGACGATAAAATTGTCCAGCCTCCGCCCCCGTGCCTACTGCACACAGGAAGTTATTATATATGACTGAAGGATCAGATGAGGGGCTGATCCTTCAGTCATATTTGGTCAGCTCTGGAGAAACTTCAGCATAATTTAACCTGCACTGGACCACATGTTTGAAACACACTATGATAGGTAAGTGTGGCCTTGGGAGTAATGATTCCCATCATTTCATGTCAGCCGTCTGAAAAAATCTAATAAAAAGCAATAAAAAAGCTGATCTACTTGATAGAAGAGGATGCAGCATATTTTTTCAGTCTCTAAAAATAAAAATCTTTAGTATACAGAAACTGTATGGAAGAAAAAAACAGGCTGAGGACAGCAGTGCAAGAGTTGTAGTTCAAAATTTAAGAACTTGTGCAGCATCTTGATGAGTACACTCAGAGGACTCAAACTGAATAAAAGCTCTGCGACGTGCTGGGCAGTGCCGACTGCCTGCCAAGTGCGGTTTTGGCAGCCAGATTAAAACCGCAGTAGAGAAACAGCCGCTCAGCAACACCTCTGATTCTCAGGTCTCTCACTCTGAGCTGTCGAAATGAAGAATGGCAGAAAAAATATAACAATGCAGACTCAGAATCCAGTTTTTTTTTCTCAATAATGAAAAATGAAAAATTGATTGATTTAAAAAATAATGGCTGACCCTCGTCAACAGGTCCACCAAGCGTACATTTGATGGCTCATAATTTGGACTAAAGAGCAAAAAGCATGAAATAATCCTTTAAGTTTGTCATATATTTGACAAGATTTACTTTTCCTTTTTTTCCCAAGACAAAGTTTAATTACATTTTATTCATACAGCGCCAAATCAACACAACAGTTGCCTCAAAGCGCTTTATATTGGATGTTAATGACCCTACAATAACACGTACGGAGAAAAACCCAACGGTCATGTCGCACTTTGGCGACAGTAGGAAGGAAAAACTCCCTTTTAACAGGAAGAAACCTCCGGCAGACCGGTTGGGGTGAGAGAAGGGCGAGAGTACAAATACATATTACAAGTATGATTCAGTGCAGAGGTCTATTAAAACATAGTGAGTGAGAAAGGTGACTGAAGAAGAAACACCCAGTGCATCATGGGAATCCTCAGCAGCCTACACCTATTGCAGCATAACTAAGGGAGGATTCAGGGTCACCTGGTCCAGCCCTAACTATATGCTTTAGCAAAAAGGAAAGTTTGAAGCCTAATCTTCAAAGTAGTAGAAGTGCAATACATACTTGCATAGATATTTTTAGTGGTGGCATTTTTCACCAGGCTCTTGTTCATTGTGACACTCTACATTCTGACATTATGAGAATAGCTTGGGCTAAAATTAGACTTGTGATGCCTCGAAGCCACCCATACTTACTCTCTAACACTGATATCTCTCCTCTTACATCCTGACTGTACAGCCTGTTTTTGGTATGCCTGCTTCCCCCCCCAAGTTAGCAGGTTACTGCTTAGTAAATTTCTATAAAATAAAATAATGTAAATGTTTATCCAAGACTATGATAAAAATATTTTCATGTTAAATCGTGCGCCTGTCTGAGTCTTTTTTCTTTTTTGTTTGAATCCAGGTGGATCAAGTTTGAGGAGAAGGTGGAGAAAGGTGGAGAACGCTGGAGTAAACCTCATGTGGCGACGCTGTCCTTACACAGCCTATTTGAACTGAGGACATGTATAGAAAAAGGCACCATCATGCTGGACCTGGAAGCTTCCACGCTACCTCAGGTTGTTGGTAAGCTCATCTCTTCAAAAATAATTTGTTTTTTTTATTTTTAATTCCAGCAGCTAAAAATTAATTTAACCCATCGAGTGATTATCGCCATGATGTGTAATCACAGCTGTAACAAATTCATATAAAGCTGCAGTTCATCCTGTGATTGTGAGGTTAAAAGTGCAGTAGAACACCTTTTACTTCAATAATAGATGTGTTGTATCTTTAAAAGGTTATGTTCACATAGTTCAACCACAATGGTTGAGAGAAGGTTAAAGTGGAAGTAGCAGCAGGACCAAAGTGTCTTCATCCCACTTCATATGTAAATTCAAGTGGTCTCACTGCAGAGATACATAAGTGGACAATGTTTCAGCTTCATCTCATGGTTGGGGCTATGATGGGAACCTCAGACTGCATATAAATGATGGCTATAGCCACGGTGATCTCATCCAGCATGTGAAGCCCTCTTTTAAGTTATTTAATTTAAAGTTATTAGCTGATGGTACTTTACCAAGCCATGACATTTGTCAGATAATTTCATGAAAAATTCAACCTCAACTCTGCTTTTAAAAACTGAGATTAGTGATGCGAACTTTTAACTTCGATAACATTTAAACAAATGTGTTATTTTAAAAAAACAGACCCTGAAGAGCTGTTGTGAAGGGCAAAATGGGCTATAGTCCGGTGGCCAAAACAGAACAATGCTCAATAAAACCCCCCAAACAACCCCAAAAGCCCCCAAAACAAACACACAAAACACGATGTAAGTGTTTTTGGGGAGACAATAATGTGACTTCCACAGCTGGTCCGTCATGTTATTGTGTCCCCAGAAACACTTCCATTATGTTTTGTGTCATTTTGCAGTGTAATTGACCTCTCAGGGCCACCGTACTATAGATACTATGAAGGTTTTTTGTAGCAGGGTGTGTCACTACCCGATCGGTACCGGAAACCCGATCGGTACCGTGCGAAAGGCCACTACTCCGGGTAGCGACATGGGAGTAAATGGGGGTTGACTCACCTTTGCAGCAAGCCTCAAGTGGCCATTCATGGAACTGTAATGGAGCGACCTCTATGGAAATATTTTACGTTTTTTTTGAGTGAATAAGTTTTATTTTTTTATTTTTTACCATTCCATGAACTCTAAACTTTGAATTATCTCTATGATTAGAAATACAATTATTTTTGCTGAGTCTGAATATGAAGAAATTGAATTTTTGGGAGATACAATATAAAATGTAAATAAGTCTGGATCTCTATCCCTAAAAAAATCGTATTACTTAACGAAGTCCAGCACAAAAGTGCTTTAGAGTGTGAAAGAACTGAACTGACAGATTTCTTTGATGTAAGAATATTTTTTTCTGCGGTTTGATCGTTTCGTTTTTTTCTCCCTTACACATCACTATTTTTTACTGCTGCGTAACGATACTAAAGGTCAGCATCTTCCTGCTCTGAAACAACAGCCCGTCTGCCAGCTTGATTAAATCAGCTGTGTGATGTGCAGCGTGTGCAGAGCAGGTCGGCAGGTTCACGGATTGATGCGCATCAAAACACTCTGAGGTTTCTTTTCATTCCCGTCTTTTAAGAGCGAGAAAAGAGCTGAGTTGCAGGCCATGCTGTACTTTACATTACAGCACTAGTTGACTATAGTTTGGACTAAATGGCCACACAAAAACTTCCTAATCTGAGGGCAGCTAACCTTCTCCAGTTGCTCTAAGATGATTATATCTCTGTGTCCTCCTATCTCATGCCACCACCCCAACATTTTTGTCTGCATGAGGGAGCAGGAAGAAGAGTTACCACTTGGAGTGATTAATGTGAAGTAATTGTCTGTGCTGCGTGAGCTGCGCTGGGCAGAGTGGAGCTGGGCCTCTTGCTCTGAGGCCTGCTGACTTGACTGATAGGCCATTAACAGCACTACCCTTACACAAGAAGAGGAACTGCCCCGGGCTGCTTTCATTCAGCATTCAGGCTTCTGACCTTCTTTTCAAAAATAGACTAGACCTTTTGATTGAGCCATTTCATGATGCCATAAAGAGGAGCATTAGAGTCTGGGAGGCACTAATTGAGTCCTTAAAGTATGAAGAGACTTTTATGGTGACCTGTTTTGGGTGATAGTGTTGCCAAGTCTACCTTTTTGAGTAAAATGCTGCAGGGTGGGGAAAGAAAGAGACCCCAAATTAAAGTGTCATTTGACAGAACAGCACGATATAATTTTACTCTTTGTGCTCATCTTTTAATTTATAAAACTTGAAACAGGTGGCACCTTTGCAATAAACTTAAAACAATTAGAATATTTTATTTTTGTTCATGTTGCAAAAAAGTGTTTATTCAATCTAACATGTTAAATTTCATGTTTTGTTTATATATATATATTTTTTTTTTCTTTGGATTCTTCTGAATTCTTCTGCTCCTAATTAAACCTAAAGCTCAAGAAATTAAGCAGTAATTAAAAAATGCATCCACAGTGTCTTTGCTTTAATGCAGAGTATTTAAAGCCTGCATTTAAACTTTAACTCAGCTTTTCACCTTGTCTTCCTCGCCTCGTCTCTTTCTGCATTTTCAGAGATGATCACTGACAACCAGATAGAGATCGGCCAGCTGAAGGCCGAACTTAAGGACAAGGTGATGTACACGTTGCTGCGGAAACATCGCCACCAGACCAAGAAGTCCAACCTGCGCTCTCTGGCTGACATCGGGAAGACGGTGTCCAGTGCAAGTAGGCTGTTTTCCACCCCGGAAAATGGTAATACTGATGCCAGTTTGGTGCAGTCTTAGCTTAAATAATTAAAGCTCGATTGCTATTTTATAAGAATAAACTAATTGCAGAATGGAGTCGACATTGAATTTTGTTAGGTGAAGAAAAAGATGTAGAGTGGGTTCTGAGGAATACCACAGTGTGTCATAAGGGGCACACTGCTGCCCTCCTCTGCATGAACCCACTAATGTGGCCTTAAACACAGTTCCAGCTGGAACCAGCAGATGAGGGAAAACACTAAAGAACCAACCTGAATAGCTCGGCCTGCATTAACACCAAAGCTAAAGAATAATTGAGTAAAATTAGTAAAGTTCAGAAATGTCTTTTGCACTTTAACGCTGTAAGTGGACTCACTGCAGGGTACTGTACTAACTACATAAACAGAGGTAGAGGTTTAAAGGGGACCTATTTATTAGTCATCTACAGTCAAGTATAAAGGAAGTGCACCCTCTGTCAATTCTAGGTTTTTTGTATCAGGACATAATACAAAAATAATCGGATCCTTAACAGGTTTAAACTCATTCAATACAACATCAGATGGACAACCTTAATTAACCTTAATTCTGATGATCATCAGCAAGTGTCAGTAGCTCTATAGCAGGGGTGGGGAACTCCAGGATTTAAGGGTGTCCTGCAGGTTTTAGATCCTGGAGGTAATTTAGCCATTTGAATCAGCTGTGTTGGATCAAGGACACATCTAAAACCTGCAGGACAGCGGCCCTCGAGGCCTGGAGTTCCCCAACCCTGCTCTATAGAGATATGCATGTGATCAAGGATACTGTAAAAAAACACAAGACCAGACTCTGTAGGCCTCTGTTAGCTTTTTATGGCAAAGTTCATGATGGTACAAAAAAGTAAAGAAGTAGTGTTTGGAAGGGCAGCCAGGAGAAAGGCTCCGCTCTCTAGAAGGAACATGGCAGGACAGATCAGGTTTAAGTTCAGTCTGACCAAGCAAACTTGTGGAACAATATCCTTTGGACTGAAGTGGATGCATTTGGCCATAATGCACAGTGCCATGTTTGGAGAAAACCAAACAGCTGATACCAGCTGTCAGCACTGGTGGACGGGTGATGAGCTGGGTTATTTTTCTGAGTCACAGGACCCGGGCACCTTGCACTCGACCAGTCGATCAGTCGAAGTATCCTACAGTCCGACGTGAGGTCATCTGTCCTATGACCAAAACATGATCTAAATTTGGTCATGCAAACTGGTCATTAAAACAGAAAAAGACAAGTCCAGACCTGAACATGACTGAAGAACTGCAGCGGGACCTAAAGAGAGCTGTGCATCAAAAAAATGCTCACTAATCTCTGTGCACTGAAGCAATGCTGTAAAGACTACTGGCCAACATTCCTCCACGATGATGGGAGACTGATAAAGTCATAAAGAAAGATTATTACTTCGAGTTATTACGTTCTTCCACAAGCTGTTGTTAATTTCAGAGCCTGCTCAGATGATTTTTTATGTCCTCATGCATAAAACCTTAGACCTGAAAGAGGGTTTTTTTTTTCAACCATAGCCGTTGCAGTTGTTCTTACATCTGATAAATAAAGTCACATGAACAAGTCGTTTCTGTAAACCTTAACTTTAATATGAGACAGAACAATGGGTCCTCTTTAACTCTGAAGAAGTGAGCTGGGGCGAGACTTCACGACCCACAGGAGTAATCATAAACCTGAAATCATAGGATTCTGGTGTTTGCTACGTTGGTCACAATCTTCTAGATTCATGATTCATGTTAACAGTAACGTTTCAAATCACTCTTAGTTTTGATTAAATTCATGGAAATGCATGTTTTATTTACAGAGCTGTCACTTTGTTTTGCTGAAAGTTGTCAGAAAATTAACTTTTTTAAAATTCTTCTTCAAAAAATAATCATTAGTTCACTCCCGGGATAAGTTTCATTTGTCCCGGGATAAGTTTCATTTGTCCCGGGATAAGTTTCATTTGTCCCGGGATAAATGAAATTTCACTCTGGCACAAAATCTTTAGAAATATCTTGATGAAGAACTCAAAGTGACAGCCCCACCACACAGCTCTTACTGATGTTAACAACATGTGGATTAGTAGTCTGTAAAATATTGATTTACTAAATGTTTATTGTGTTGACAGTGGAAGGAATCTGTTACTAGTCATGGGCCTTTGGAAAGTGAAGTTATTTATTAGCCACTATCAGATTTCAGGAACTTTGACGATCAAAGAAAAGGCTTTCTCTGTTCATGACCCAGCTTTTGCTGTGCTCGTCCTCTTATCACGGCAACGATAAGGAGCCACTCTGATAAATATTGCTTGATTACCATCTTTTCAAGGATAAAGTTTATTTTCTGACTTATTAAAGTGCAGGTCAACCTTCTGTCCAAAGACCCATGATGTCCTCATTTAATGATGCCCCTCCTCTTTCCTCACTGTATCTCTGCACGGCTTGTCAATTGCAGCAATATCACGTCTTCACATATTTTAACAGCCACTTGATCTTTTGTGCATTTAACAAATCTTCTGCTTTGGCTCAGCGGGCTTGTCTGTCAACTCTGCTTTCCATCTCTCTTTCGTCCTCTTTGCTTCCCTGGATTGGCTTTGATAACCTGCTGCTGCCACTAAAAGCCCGCAGTCCTCTCGAGAACTCTGTGACTTGCCTGTCAGGTCGCATCTCAATGGAGGACTTGCAGACCCAAAGGAGTTCCAGTATGGACTGGCTCAGTAAGTTCACTGAAGTCTACATCCACACTGCAGACCCCTGGTGAGCTTCCATTTGGCGACAAAGAAACGAAGACCAGAGAGTTCAAATTTAGTCTCAAACTGAGGCTTTTTTAAAAATACAGACAGCGGTTCGTAAAGTTGTGTCCGAGTGCATCTTTGTGCTGATGACCTGCAGCTTGAATGTAGTCACGACTAGCTTGAAATTTCACTAGATGCTAGTTCTTGATGGTGAATAATCCCTGTCAGCTCAGGTTGTTTTTAAAGAATATTTTCTCTCACCTACACTACACCTATAAAAAAAAATTATCTGGCTGCATCATACTGACATGCACGTTATTACCAACAGTGCCAAAGGTGCAGATGCATGAAAGGCTGCAGTGGCACCAGATTGTTGCATTCTTTGAGGTTTTTCTTTCCCTCTGATCTCTGCTGTTCTGCTGTCACATTTCAGGATCATCTTCTACTTATTTTGTGTCTGCACCCATTAAGTCCATCCACAGAGTAAGGCTTTAAATGTGACAGTAAGAATGATGACACTAGATCTCATTATTATCAAAGCACAACAAGCTGATTGAACCTCAAGAAAGATGCATTAATAATGGTAATTTTACTCTTCGTTTTATTTGAAATTCAAAGTAAAAAGTTGATATTTGATCTGATCACACATTTTATACCCGACGGGTTAGACCTAAATATCGGCCAGTTACTTTATCACAGACAATAGCTTTTGTCCTACAGCTTGCACGAGTATTTCTGTTGGATTTTTTCTTCTTTTGGCAAAGCATGTAAGGAGCTTATTGTCTGGGCCACTTTGGGTTTCTGCCTCTTTTCCTCTTGAGTCTTAGACCACAGTGGGGGTGAAGCTGGTCTAACTAGTCATTGTTGCCCTGTCTGAACAGATAGTCCCACCACAACTCCCAGGAACCTGACATCCACCAGCCTGAATGACGTCTCTGACAAACCGGAGAAAGACCAGGTAAGTCGCCCTCATGCATCTGCTGTACTGTTTCTGGACACCAACCCTCACCAATCCATCAGACTCAGTGGTGAGAGGTTTATATTTCCTGGAAAATGAAGGGGATGGATCTCTGTATTCCCAAGTTCCCAGTTTAAGGTGGTGTAGATGTAACGATACGCTTGATGGCCTTTTATTCTGAAACATTTATAATGAACCAGCTTGTCTGATTTCTCAAGCTTGAGGCTAAAAACAAGCTAGTTCACTGGCAGAAGAGATGAGAAAAGCCTGACTGGACTCCATGACAGAGCTGCATGGTGTAGGCTGGATGTAACAGAGCTGAGGAGGCCCGTCGGAGTATTTCGTGGTTGTTGCTTCACAGCAGAGATAACATTGTGTAAAGTGCATTGTTCCAGCTCCTGGTATCATCACCCAGCCTGCTGTAGCTGCTCTGAACCTTCCCCACCTTTTCCTTTGATGGTTAAAGTGGAAATTTGTGTAGCAACTTTAGACTGCAGTGAGGATCAGGCTGTGGCTGATAAAGGATGATGTCATCAACAGCAAAGAGAGACTGAATTTCCTCTGCAGCCTTACAGTCCACAGCAGCGGCCCCCAACCCCCGGGCCACGGACCGGTCGCGAGTCGCGAGAGTTGAGGCTCGGGTGTGAAACTGATGGTTTTCAGGGTTTTTATTGGTTTTTAGTGTTATTGTTTCTATCGTTGACTCGGTTTCCCTGGGTCTTGTCCCACGTGTTATCAATAAATCTTTTTTTTGGTACTGGTTTTATTTTGTTGTATTTATCTGCGACACCTTAAAGGGCGGTCCATGAAATTCTGTTGGCCATAAACCGGTCTGTGGTGCAAAAAAAGTTGGGGACTGCTGGTCTACAGTGCCATTAAACCGTGTTTGCACCGTTCCTGATTTCTCAGTTTTAGTTCAAACAAATTTTAATATCAGACAAAGATTACCTGAGTAAATACAAAATGCAGTTTTCAAATCATGGTTTAATTTATTAAGAGGACAAAAAAGACAAAAAAAAAGTTCCTACCAGCCCTCGGTGAAGAAGTAACTGCCCCCTAAACCTAATTACTGGCTGTGCCACCCTTGGCCTTGGCAGCAAGAAGTGCAGTCGGGTGTTTGTGATAACTGTCCGTGAGGCTTTCATGTGATTGTGGAGAAACTTAGTTTTCATTCAGCTACAGCTGGGGGGATTTGCCTGTTAAAGGCACACCAGAGCATCTCGGGCTTTGAGGAGTCTTCACCAAACCCTTTATTTGTCTTTTGAGCCATTCTGAGGTGGAGTTGCTGGTGTGCTTCAGATTATTGTCCTGCTGCAAAACCCAAGTGCACTTGAGCAAAACTCATGGCTTGATATCCTCCTTCAGGATTTTCTGGTAGAAAACAGAATTCATGGTTGCATCAATTACAGCAAGTCTTCCAGGTCCTGAAGCAGCAAAGCAGCCCCGGGCGAACACATTATCACCACCATGTTCAACTGTTGGTGTGATTTTCTTTTCATGAAATGCTGAAGTAGTTCCACACCAGATATAACAGGTCTGAAACCTTTTGTTTCATCGATCCACAGAATATTTTCTTAAAAGTCTTGGGGATCATCAAGATGTTGTTTGGTAAATCTGAGCTGTGTCTTTGTATTGTGTTTGGTCTGTGGTGTTTTTCTCTTTACATTTTTACTCTGTGTCTTTCTTATTGTTGAGTCAGATGAGTCATTGTTGGGCTCTTGGAGTAATTTTTGTAGGCTCGCCACTCCTGGAAAGGTTCACAACGGTTTCATTTTTTCCATTTATTTTTTCCATAATGGCTCTTACTGTGTTTCACTGCAGTTCCTTAGAAATGGCTTTGCAACCCTTTCTAGACTGATAGAGACAGCTGTAGATGTGGCATGATGCGTTTCATTTTGAGATTGTTGAGCCTACTTTACTTTGTCTTGTTTAGCAGGAATCAGTGACATTTGTTACTGAGTCTAGAGGAATGATTCTCACTTTGGGTGCGGATGAGCCCCCAGTTCATGTTACAACCCGTCTAGGGGCCAGGTCATAGCATGGATGAGGCACTCGCTCCCCCACTTCCTCAACTGTTACGGAGCACTGCACCCGGCGGCTGTCACAGGCGTGGCTGCTCAGGCGTTAGGGGAAGCACGAGAACCTCTCTTGCCGGCGGTGCTCCAGGCTATATTTATAAGACGGGTCCTCCAGCTGGAACCAGTCATTCCGGAGCCATACTTCCATGCACCAATCGCAGCAGGGATTTACCATAACACAGTGAGCTGTTCAGACAGAAACAAACACACATGACAGGTGTCGTAACCCAGGTTTTAAACAATAGGGTTCATCACAAATTACGTGGAGGGGGCAATGACTTTTTCACAAGGGCAGGTGGATAGTTTGAATAGTTTTCTTCCCTTAGTGAATGAAACCATCATTTATAAACTGCAGTTTGTATTCACTCAGGTTATCTTTGTCTGATATTAAAATTTTTTTTGATCTGAAACATTTAAGTGCGAAAAACATACAAAAAATGGAGAAATCGGGAACGGGGAGAATACTTGCACTGTTGCTATATTTAGATCATCTAACACGCCCACAGGACATAACACAGTTTTCCTCTGGGGTTTTGTCAGAGGCTTCCACACACTTGAGACACGCTGCTCCTTTGCCCTCACGCTATCTTATCCTTACTACTTGTATGCCAACATGTGAAGTAGCATCTGCAAAGGTTGTTTATTACCAAAGTGTAGCTCCTGGAATATTTCTCATGTAGTCTACCTGTGTGAGTCAGAAATGTGACATGTAAACACTTCTGACTGGATAAATGCAAAAACATTGTAGCTGTGCTGATTACTAAAACGAACAAATTATTTTATTTTCCAGACTGAGTAGATTTAACAAAGTCAGATTAATCTAAACTAATCAGTGAGTTACTTTCTCATGAAAATATCCAACCCAGTATCACGGCAAGATGGAGAATAGACACGCCAGTCGACCATGAAATAGCATGCAGAAATTGCATTACCACCAGGGGGCGCTAATATATTTAAAGCCGTGAGGTGAAGATCTACAGAAGCTCAAAAAAAGTACATTCCAAAGGCCTTAAGCAGTTAATGTGTACATACACATATAAATGTGATAATAATGTCTGTTAAACACTCAAATAAAATATCTCCCCCTGCTGTTACTGCAGAGTACTGCAACTTACTGCAAATTCTGCATGCGTGTCATACGATTCATAGAAGCAAAGTGCTAAATGGACACAGTGGACCGGCGTTTCTATTACACGTTTTGTTGTGATGTTGGGTTGAAATGGCAGCTCTTCTCTGGACTGTACTCTATGCATTCTCATTGTATGTATTGTCATATTCCATGTGTCATGTTACCCCAGTTCACAGCAGACAGTGGTTTATATGCCCTCATCCCAGACGAGGCCTGTGGGAGAGAGGAATTAGGTCAGAGCGACCCAGTCAGAGGGACCCAGTGAGTCTCCTGTGGGACAGATTAGAGACTCCCAGGCAGGAAACGAATCTCCTAAACCGAAGCTCCTCCACACCCACTCAGCCCATAAATACCATAATGACGTTTCCACATGGAGCGATCGTGACTGATAACTTGTTGCTAATGTAGAGATAAGATAAAGACGGGAGCTGTTCAGATTAACATACAGAGACTGCAGCCACTCGAGGTGCACAGATGAATTACAAACGTATATAATTAATTTTCTCTTCACAGTGTGTTACTTTTACAAGGACTTACAAGTATTAGTTTAAATTTGAACCTGAGTTACAACATCTAAATATTATATTGTATCATATTCAACAAACGCAGTTCTGAAAATGTTGGGATGCTTTTAGTGGGTTTTTGGTGCCTCTAATTTCTTAACACAAAACACATTAAAGAAAACGTCACATCTCAGATCTCACTTTGATCTTTGCACTGGCTCATTTTAAACGTGCTAATAAACATTTCAGGTCCATGCATATTGTGTTTGTGTCTTAGGGCAGTAAACAACAGATTCAGGTGTACGTGGTTTACGAGCGCGGTGTGGATTAGCTGGGATTGGACACAGGCCGTGGTGTGCAGTTACACAGGTTTAACCTCTTGACTTGAATCATTTACAGACAAACTCTTTGCCAAGATGGCCCAACAGCCTGTGATTGGATCTGTTTGGCTGTTAACAGCGGAAGGTCACAAGTTTATGGGATTTCAGTCCTTAGACGCTGAGAAAGCCCAGTATGTCGTCTGCATTTGTTTGTCATTTGAATATGTATGTTAGTCTGTGTGTACAGCAGGCTATCTAACATCTTTTAGCAGCATCAGTCTGACTGCGCCAAGCTGGCAGAGCTGCTTTTCACGTCACTTTTAATAGTATTTGTTACTCAGTTTGGTGCCTCAAAACTTGTCTGGACCGATAATTGTTGGTTGCCAACAAGAACTCTAGAGCAGCGGTCTCCAACCTTTTTTGTGCCACGGACCGGTTTATGCCCGACAATATTTTCACGGACCGGCCTTTAAGGTGTCGCGGATAAATACAACAAAATAAAACTAGTACCGAGAAAAAAAGAAGATTTATTCATAACACACGTGAAAAGACCCAGGAAAACCGAGTTAACGATAAAAACGATAACAAAATAACGCTGGAAACCGATAAAAACCCTGAAAACTATACATTTCACAGCTGAGCCTCAACTCTCGCGGCCCGGTACCAAACGACTCACGGACCGGTACCAGTCTGAGGCCCGGGGGTTGGGGACCGCTGCTCTAATGCACTAAAAAGGATAAAAAAGAAAACATTAAATCCACGACTGCAACAAAAGCATGAAAAAAACAAACCTCTGAAAAATGACCGAATCCAAACTGAAGCCGTCTTTAACACCTCACTGGTTTACTGCCGCCCCTCTCTGTCTATGCAAACACATTAATGACATATAAGGATGAGCCGTTGTACAGATAAAAGTCCCATGAAAGACACACATGTAGCTGACCTCCTGGCATGTCTGTGTCATTACGTCGAGAAGAAATGCTCATTTTACTGCTTGTTTCTTATTTAGGCACCATGGGGGACGCCTGGTTTGGTATTTAACCTGAATGGGATTGCCTCGTTTGATATAGGTTTTTTAATTTCGAGTGCGTGCTTCTAGACGGCTTGCTGGTGTGAACGGAGCACCTCTCAACTCCTGTTGCTTTTCTCTTTTGTGCTTTTCAGCTGAAGAACAAATTCATGAAGAAGTTGCCAAGAGACGCAGAAGCCTCCAACGTGCTGGTGGGGGAGGTGGACTTCCTGGACGCGCCCTTTGTGGCGTTTGTTCGTCTGCAGCAGGCCGTGATGCTGGGAGCCCTGACGGAGGTTCCTGTTCCCACAAGGTGCCTGAAATTTTGTCCAATCCAGACTCCTGGTTGTCCGTTTGCAACCTGGATATGTTGTTTATACATTTTGACAGGGACCTAATACGTTTTTCCTTATTTTCTGTCACATCTTCTGAATGTGAATGAATCAGAGTGGATATCTCAGGCACACAGCTCTGGCTCGAGCACAGGAGGCCAATGTTCAAATCTTTCTTTTGAGAGCGGCAGCCAATCAGAATAAACCTAGCTTAAAGGGAAATGATGATAATGTTGAACTGTGAATCATGCAAAGCTGTTGTAGCATCACAGTCCACCAGTAACATAGTAACTGTGGAGCTTGAAATAAGCTCCACTGCAAAATCCAATAAAAAGTGGATTATATGATAATTCCGGATATTTTATTATGATCAACAAACAGTAAAATATGAAAGAGTATTGCATCACAGCTGTAAAACACACATGTATGACGGTGTTTCACCTGATGTTTGTTCACTGAAACAAGCATCATAAAGTTTGATCACTGACACCTGATGTCTGTTCTCATATTTAAGCAAAGGAGCCATAAAACAGTTTAACTTTCAGTACTTTTCAGTGAAAGTATTTAAAGCTAGTTCATGGTATTTATACGACAAGGCCTCAGTTATGGTGTCATATCCATTATATCATCAGTTTGTTTATTCTTATAGTGAGCAACATCCTTTACTGCTGTATTGGAGAGTAGCTGAATAGATGATTGTCATACAAAGCAGCATCTTTGCAGCCAGAACAAAACAAAAATGTCTCTGAGCTTCGAGTTATGTTTTGTAAACTGCACAGGGACCCCAAGTGTGCGCATGACATCTGAATAAATGCAAACTGCCCCAAAAAGGCTCTAATTAAAATAAGAAAATATATTTTTAACCTGTAATCTTTTTGTTAAATTTGTACTCTGTTTTTTTTAATGTGGCTTCAGATTTTTATTCATCTTGCTTGGACCCAAAGGCAAAGCCAAGTCGTACCACGAGATCGGCAGAGCGATCGCTACACTGATGTCGGATGAGGTAAGATCTTAGATATTAGACATTAAAATGTGATCGTCACGTAAACCTGTTTAGGATAAAGTGCTGGTGCCAAGTGAACTCTTGGACATCGTGTCTGGGGAACGAGCTGAATCAGTAATCTTTGCAGTCGTGCAGCGACATGTCCTAGCTGCAGTAGCAGTTAGCATTATTTTAAGCTCTCCAATGAGGAAAATCGACCTCTTTAACATTTGTATTTGCCAGTATTGAGATAGATATAATCAATAGATACTTTATTGTCCCCACTGATAAACATGGTACACAACCCCAGCTGAAACCAAACAACAGGCATCACACAGAAGTGACCCTGCAGTGTAACCTATGTAGGGTTCATTTATTTCACACTGCTCTGTAAAGTCCTCAGCAGGCTCTTAAACCTACCCGACAGTAGCAGCTCATGCTGAGAACATATATTGTGCTGGATGAATCATAAAGTTTTATTACAAAATGTTTAAAAACCAGTTTATAATAAAACCTGAAACCAGTTTGGAGGCTATAGCGGCACATGCACAGACTGCAGCGAGTCTGAACTAAGCAAGCTAACTTTGATTTCAGTGACACAGGAGGGTTCCCGTCCCATGCAGTTATCCCACACCTGATTACACTCAATAAAACAAGCCTGATTAAACATAAACATCATTTTTGCTCTCCTCCAAACACATGCCAGTGTCTGGAGGAGAACTTAACCAGTGAACCACATTATCCTCCCATGAATATGAAAGGTTAATGTACTGTATCACTGTGGACACTGAGATATTTACAGCACTGTATAACTGAGTGGTTATGAATAACACCTATCGCTTTGTGGGGCCAGGTCTTAAATGCAAACTAAATAAAACTAGATGGGACAGGCACCTCTTTAATGTTATATCCATGCTGGGGTACATTATGAGAGTTATTGTTTTGATGAAAACAAACTGCATCTGTCCCCCTCCAGAGTTTTGGGATTTACCAGATGGGATTAGTTCACAATCCTTAGATCTGGTATTGCAGTTTGCTGCCCCGTGACCCTGGATTCTTTGACAGGTGTCTTTTACACTTGAATGCCCCATCTCTCCCCCTCTGTGTGTTCAGGTCTTTCATGACATTGCATATAAGGCCAAGGACAGACAAGATTTGCTGGCTGGTATTGACGAGTTTCTGGATGAGGTGATTGTGCTTCCTCCTGGAGAATGGGACCCAGCCATCAGGATAGAGCCTCCAAAATCCCTCCCCTCCTCTGACAAAAGGTCAGTGAGCTCAAACTTGTCTGTTTTACATGATTCAGATTTGATGATTGAAGAAAAAGCTGCCTGTCACTGAAGAAGATACGCAGAATGGGTCATATCAGAGTTTGTGGGGAAAAAATATGTTAAAAAATAAGCGTTAGTGGTTCAGAGGGAAGTTGTCACTGTGATCTTATCTGAAACCAAAAGAGTTGATTGATTTAAACACCTGGGGCTGTATATTAGTGTGCTGGTCATTCATTAAACCTGTGTCAGCACAAACACTTCATCTAACATCATGTGACCCAAAGTCTGCTCTAACTCTGGCAGCTCGTGTCTAAAAGAGCCATTTAATAACCAGCAGCATGAAAATATGTCTGCCTAGATGTTAACACAAATCCACAGAGGACCAGTGCAAGATTAGAAGACGTTTGTAGATAAAAGACGGAAAAATGAGACGTTCCAGGAGAGTAAAATCACTGAGGTGCATCCAGGTGGACAACAGTGTTCAATTATGAAAGAGCTGGTTACATAAAGCTGGCATGTAGTAACTCTAGAATAACTCGACCTTCTATGATTCTTCTATGATCGATCGATCTCCCAGCACATACCAGTATCTGTAGGACCTGGATCAGGTACTCTGACTTCCTGCTGCTGAACAAATCTGTGCCTTCATGTGTATTTCAGGAAAAACATGTATGCAGGAGGCGACTCTCAGATGAACGGAGACATGCCTCACGATGGAGGCCATGGAGGAGGACATGCTGTGGGCGAAGAGCTCAGGAAGACGGGAAAGTATGACACTTTGAACAAAGCGATGTCATCTGCATGCAATAGTTGGGAGCACTGTACTGTTTTTACCTAACATATTGAATATTGAGTGAAACGACACTGTCCAGTGTCGCGTGTGTGAATGTCATGCTCGGTGCATCAAAACGAGCTGCTGGCTTTAGTAGTCCATACCACTGACAGCGACTCACCTTCTGCTTTGTCCTGTTTCAGGTTTTGTGGGGGTCTCAAACTTGACATCAAGAGAAAAGCGCCTTTCTTTCTCAGTGACTTCACCGACGCGTTTCACATTCAGGCCCTGTCGGCTATTATGTTTATTTACCTGGGAACTGTAACGAACGCCATCACCTTTGGTGGTCTGCTGGGAGACGCTACGGAGAACATGCAGGTCAGGCTTTTGCACCATGTGACGGTTTGAAGAGCGTTCACCGTTTACGCTGTGAGCGTTTCCCTGACTGCTTTCCAACATGTGTGCAGGGTGTGCTGGAGAGTTTTCTGGGCACAGCCATTGCTGGTGGCGTTTTCTGTCTGCTGGGTGGTCAGCCTCTCATCATCCTCAGCAGCACTGGCCCCGTTTTGGTGTTTGAACGGCTGCTTTTCAACTTCAGCAGGTAGGTCTCCATTCTCTCTGTTTTTTAGATGCCTGGTTACTGCCCTGTGTTTTAGAAAATCTCAGCTGTCACTGTGTCTTTTTGATTCTGTTAAAGGCGATGCGTTTTATTCTTGGACTATGAATGAGTCACAGTTTAAAATGATCCTTATTTATACTTATCACCGTGCTTCAGTGCAATTCTTAGCTGATTCAGAAATAAGGCTTTTAGCTCTGTTTAATCCAGCTCGATTCTCATTTGCTGTCTCTTGAAACGGTTTGAGTAGAGGGCAGGTGGTGCAGAGCTTTCTGCACGGCCACATTAGGTACATCTGCTCTGACCTCATGACAACAGCACTCAACAGAAAATAAGGAAAAGCACAATAAGTTGTGCTTATGTTGTACTGAGCAATAACTTTTTAAGAAACAATATTCACAGTTTTTTGTGCTGTTTTTGTGTAAATTGTGTTCAGTGTCTATAATTCCAGTAATACTATTGTTGTTTTACTCTGAAAGTCACATCCCCGTCCCATCATATGACTCATTGGGCTTCCCCCCCCCCTTTTTTTTTTTAGAGATAATGAGTTTGACTACTTGGAGTTCCGCCTGTGGATCGGCCTGTGGTCGGCTTTCTTCTGCCTGCTGCTCGTGGCGACTGATGCCAGCTACTTGGTCCAGTACTTCACCCGCTTCACTGAGGAGGGCTTCTCCTGTCTCATCAGCTTCATCTTTATCTATGATGCCTTCAAGAAGATGATCAAATTAGCTCATCATTATCCAATCAACCCTGACTTCAGAATGGAATATGTCACGCAGTACGACTGCCTCTGCATGGCTCCTACTGTCTTGGGTGAGTAGTTACTAAATTAAAGGCATATCTACACACTGTACAGCCTGTTTTGTCCACACATGCCAATGAGCCGGTCTGCTATTCAATGTTACAGGTTTTGCCAGAATCTTTAAGAACAATGCATGAAATTTATCTTCTTGTGAGAATAAGAACAGAGATCTTTTTTTAAACCAATATGATGCGTTTAATGTCTAATTATCAGTTAGAACAGAGGTTTAATTTAACACAGCTGGTGCTGTTCAGCTCTGTGTTCAGCTTACAGTAATGCTGCTGCATTGTGTAATGTAGAAAAGAGGAAACGACAGTTGTGTGGATCGTCCAGTCCACTGGCATAAAGTTAAACCAGCAGTGCATTCATAGCTAAAGGTCTATGGTGCAAAGGCAGCAGTACACATGTGCATTTTCTTTAATCAGATTTGCTACAGCTGTACTTTTTATTTGTGTAACACTTTAAAAAACACAGATTAATAAAGTGTTTCAGTTTGAATATTACATTAAAGCTAAATGCACATGTTCACACAGACATCAACCAAATTATGGCCCAAAACAAAGGTAAAGATTAAGGAAAAGCTAACCTATAAAAACGAGTTTATCCTGCACCTAATCATAGCTGTCAGGTTGTATTGATGCGTTTCCCTCTTATTGTAGCTGCTTCTTCTGCGGCTTGGTCTAGAGTTTCCTTGCAGACATAAATGCATAAAACGTTTGTATCCTTTGTGTCAGATCACAAGAAGTTACAAGCATTGATGTCTCAATGTCAGATTGTCTGAACACTTATTACGTCTGCTTCAAGCTGTTCTGTGTAGATGGGACATTATTGAAATGAAGTAGCTGTTGAGGTCATTGTTAGCAGATTGCTGCTGATTTTCTTTGACATTCGGATGCACTCAGGTAACACCGGCTGTTCCCAAGGGCACTTTAACATGATAGCTAATACTTATATTGAGATAGTATCACAATGAATGCAAAATAATCACTGTAACAAGTTAAGTCATAGCTGAGCTTTGTACTGTACTGCAAGTATCTTAACCTTGACCAGAGTTTACCAGGCTGATTGTCAGATGTCATAAATGGCCTCTGTAAAATTAATTTTCCATATAAGATTTCAGTCGTGTCACTTTGGAAACTTTTAAACGTATTAAAGCTTTCATGCTGAGAGGAAACACGTTTTGTTGTTTTCTTGCAGAAAACAGCACAGACATCATTGGCGATCCTTTAGAAGGCACTTCAGACTGGTTCTGGAACAACACAGATCTGGTGCGTCTCTCTCCTTTTATTTGATGCTCTTTAAGAAACAAACTAAAATGTATCATTTTCAGGTTAATCGTTTCTTTTGATGAGTCACCTGAGCAACCAAACCTTCTCGACTAAACCCCTCGCTGTGCTTTGCTGTATTAACCTCTGCAGGAGAGTCACCACATTAACACTGATGCTCTCGGTTTTCTCTCCTGTGTTTCTGGGCACTGTTTTATGAATCTCTTACACTGTAAAAGACGGAAATTCTCAAGCAGCTATTTTGGTTTAATTTAACCTGGAAGTCTGAAACTTTATTTAACCTGTTTGTTTCTCTCACGCAGCCACCGAATGCCACGTGGTCGTCCCTCTCCAGGACCGAGTGTTTGAAGTATAATGGAGAGCTGGTGGGCAAAGCCTGCGACTTTGTCCCAGACATCACCCTCATGTCCTTCATATTGTTCTTTGGCACTTACACCTGCTCCATGTGTCTAAAAAAGTTCAAGACAAGCCCCTTCTTCCCCACCACTGTGAGTCCGCGTGCCGAGCTAATTTAACTGAACAAGCCACGTGTGAAGGAACTAAATGAAATTCCCACCTGTTTGTGGATCAGCAGGTTCCAGAGTCTCTTTGTGTTTTCTTTTCATTCAGGTGCGAAAACTCATCAGTGACTTTGCCATCATCTTGGCCATTCTTATCTTCTGTGGAGTTGATATGCTCGTAGGAGTTGATACGCCTAAACTTCTTGTGCCAAGTGAATTCAAAGTGAGTGCCCTCCTCCACCCAGAGAAATTAAAGTCCGTATTAGTTATGCGTGGCTTTATGAAACCTGAGGCAACAATAAACTCTTGTTAAATTGTCCTGCAAGTCATCATCATAGACTGTATGTAAAAGATGGCCAGTCGGCACAAGCGGCTACAGACAGTGGTGTAGCACTTTGTACCGGGTTCATCTTTCACTAAAAGCAGCCACTCTAATTGTGCACATAATGAACCTTAACACAGTTTCAGAGACAGGTTAACAAAAAAAAGGTTTTCTGGAGTTTAAATGAACATGTTTGATGGACAGGAAGCCTTTGCAAGGATATGTACAATTTAAATCTCATGGACTGACTCTGTGTGTCTTCTCTCCTTATAGCCAACAAGTCCAAACCGAGGCTGGTTTGTGGCCCCATTTGGAGGAAACCCCTGGTGGGTTTATCTGGCGTCTGCTCTTCCTGCCCTTCTGGTCACCATCCTGCTCTTTATGGACCAACAGATTACTGCTGTGATTGTCAACAGGAAGGAGCACAAGCTAAAGGTAAGTCAGAAATCCTTCTGACAGAATGAGCTTTGTGAAGCGTCTTTACAAAGCTGAACAGCTGATCATTGATCAGTTTCATGATTGAAGTAGCAGCAGGAGAGAGAGAGAGAGGCAGTCTCTCCATATATCGGTTGTTAAGCTTAACGCAGGAATGCTTTACAAACATTCAGAGATGGACTTGCACACTTGCTTTACTTCTCTCGGGGATAACTTTCTCGGAGATGAAATGCCAGTTTGGTAGCGAGGCTACAAATGCTCAACCAGACCGCCGACAGGTCTCACACGCCACAGCCGCTCTATCAGGTGACGCACACTGCTCCGACGTGCTACGGTTATGAGCTGAGTTACGCCATGTTGCAAGTTTTTTGAGGTGCTTTCATGATATTTAATGGATCGGATTACATTTTTTATTTCTCTCCGATATCCGATCCAGTAATTTAGGTCAGTATCGGACCGATACCGATACGTAATATCGGATCGGTCCATCCCTACTTCATATAAGAACAAAGTAAAAAAGCATTAGACAAACAGTCAAGAAAGTTCCTGTGTTTTCACTATCTGCTATAGAAATGATGATTTTTACAGTGTTAAAAAAAATGAAAAAATTAACAACACTGTTTTATAATTACAGGATGTATTTAATTACATTTTTTATATTAAATATATCTAAACATCTTCATGTTGACATGAAGGCGAGTTTCACTGGTCTGGCCCACCTGAGATCAAAGTGGGCCACGATGTAAAATGAGTTTGGCCTCCCTGCTCTAGAACACTGGATCCTTTCACACTGGAGCTAAACATCATTCTTCTCATAGGGGTGAGAGAGATGTCACGGCAGTACTACCTGTTATTTTTAGGCAGTAACTGCTGAAGTAGACCAATAGGATTCTTTCAGCGGGGTAATTTGCCCCTTTAAACAATAAATGATGGAGCATCGCTTTGGTTCTTCTGTCTTATTCTGCAAACAAACCATAAATGAGCAGTTTGCAGGGTTTTAGGTCTGCCTGTATCTGCAGCTGTGCTCTGCTTACTGCCTGAACATACACACACGTTACCTCTGACCTTGTTTTTGTCTGTACCAGAAAGGGGCAGGTTACCATCTGGATCTGTTTTGGGTGGCTGTTCTGCTAGCAATTTGCTCCTTCATGGGTCTGCCGTGGTACGTGGCCGCCACCGTCATCTCCATCGCTCACATCGACAGTTTGAAGATGGAGACTGAAACATCGGCTCCCGGAGAGCAGCCAAAGTTCCTGGGTGTGAGGTAAGAGCAATGCTTGTTAGGAAGACGCCCCCTTTCTGGACTGTGGTCACATACAGCCCGATGACAGTTTTAGTTTGACTGTGAGAAATGAATGGCTTTTACATCTGATCTGCAGGTGAGATTCCAGGAAGAAGAAGGCAGAATCACTTGGTTAGATTTGGTCAACATGCATCAAAGAGCAGTAAATGGATAATCTTTCAGATATTTCATGCACTAAATTGAAAATGGAATTAAGTGCTTTCAGATGAAGGGTTGTGGTTAAAACTGGAAGGTCCATGAAGAAGGACTCGTGCTGTGATCTGCTCAAACACCAAGTGCTCTGCAAATGGCCCGAGTGTTGTTTGAGATGTGATGAACACAGAAGCAAAGACCTTCCTCAAAAATAGTTACGCTGATAACATGTTGAATTGGCTCATGAGTTAAACTTTTTCTTTTATTTTCTTAGCACATATGTCATGTGCACTGGAACGAAGGCTGTTCATGCCAGAAATGCTCAAATTAGCCACACTTGTTTCGATTTCTGACTGTTAGATTAGCTGATTAGTCTTAGTTTAAAATTTATTAACTGATTAGCAAATAAGCAGCTAAAGACACCCCTGCCTACTTCTGGTAGATTCATGTTGAAGGACTCGATGACAGATGTTGCAGCTGTGGCCGCTGATCAGGGAGGCAGTTTGAAGCCTCAGATTTCTTTAGCCGATCACTCTGAATATGAAACCATATACTCATTGTTAATGACCTTTAACTGACAAGTATTGCTCCATTGTGAAACATGTTATTACCACGATTTATGGAGCAGACTCTGATTTGTTATTCAGTATGACCCCAAACGAGTGACTGAGCCCATAAACTCGTCACAACATGTTCACAGAGGTCATGGCAGAGAGGTGTTTTTCCATACACTGCTATAGGACCAAAGTCTTTTTTTGCAACCGCATCTATCGCCATCTGGTGGCCTTCAGATAGAACGCAGGCTTAAGGCACGTCAACGCTGGCTTCGTTTTTCTGACCTGGAAGTTACGTCTGTGTTTTTTAACGTGCACACGATCTCTGAACAAAGTGTCTCGATCACTCTTATCATTCAAATCATAATCAATAAACACTTATTGCTGTTGGCTTGTTGATCCAAGCTGGTCAATATTGTTCATTCAGTGTTTGGTCTCAATAAATATTTCAGAAAAAGGCAGCGTGAGACAACTTTAACAAATGTTCTTTTTTTTCTCATCATCTCAGGTTTTTAGTGATTATCTGTATTTAAATTAAGCTGTGTTATTGGCAGTATTAACATATTTTATTTTCAGCATCTTGCCTGGTTCTTCCTTTGTGTTCATTTTAGTTTTACGGGGCTTTTGATTGTTTTCATGTCTGACGTCCTCCCCGGCCTCCTGATGTGTCAGCTGTAAGCTGAGCTAACAAACCGTAACACCAGAACATCCACACTAACTCTGAACCCTCTGCAAACACTGGTGCTGTTTTCTTTTTCTTGGCTAAACTAATTTATGAATTGGCAACTGACTGCCAGGCTGCTTCAGATCATGACTTTATAGCAAGCAGACAGCTCAGACGCTGCAGTTTTGTTCTTGTGTAAAATGTATTTTTCTGTCCTTTGCAGAGAGCAGAGGGTCACGGGTGTGTGCGTGTTCATCCTCACAGGGCTGTCTGTGTTTATGGCTCCAGTTTTAAAGGTAATCAATCGGATATTGATTTTATTTCTTGTCTTGTGATTGATTTGTTAACTTGACATGCCAGTTAAACGGTTTATGAGTTTAATCAATGTCCTTCTAGAAGCAGGTCTTACCACGTAGCGACCATGTTGGTAACATCTCTGGGGAGGAGTTTGAATTTATTTTTAAGCCTCTGACTAGAAATCAACAAACAACAATACATTTTTAATAGATCTAGAGACATACAATGCAAGTACTGCTTAAATGTGATTTACAAAAATGCTAAAAAGCTCTCTTTAGTTATACTGCACAAAGTTAAACAATATAAAGGCAGTGTAACTTGGCTTCATCGCCATCTCTGAACAAAAGTCATGCTGCTTCACACTATGCTCCTGCAAAAAATGCAAAAACAAAACACAGCTAATGTCTAAGGAGCTTGGAAAGAAAAGCATCTGGCTTTCTTTAGGTTTCTTAAAGATGTTTCATCCGAGAAGCTTCTTCAGTTCTAAGAGCAACTGGTGGAGAGCCCCAGATTTTAAGCCCTATGGGAGTGTCCCCAACAGGGTGATGGACCCCTTATTGATCCTCTACCTAATCACATGAGCCAAGGTGTCATCTGGGACCATCTTTCCAACCTCCTTAGGCTACGATGACCTGGATCACTGAGAGCCCTCACAGACACGATTAGCTAATATGTCCCATTTCAGTTTAATGTGTTTGAATTCCAGTTGCTTTTACGTGACTTTTCAAATCTGCATCAAAATGCAACGACACAATAAAGTGGTAATAGTTTGTCTAATATGGCCGGTGGGTCATATTATTATGAAGAGGATCTGCAGTATTTAACCTGTTCTTCAGTTACCAGGACATAAATGAAATCGGACTTCTCTGCTTTTTAACATAGTTTTCATTGGTCAAATTAAATTTAAAAGAATAAAAGGATTTCTTTATCAGGCTGCCCATAAACCTGCATAATAAATACACTCACTGATTACTGATAAGCTGCTATCTTATCAGAATCAGAATCTTTATCGTCCCTGCAGCAACGAGGCGCTGAAAAATGACATTGAGGTCCAGTTATCTCAGTGCAAAAGAAGATCGCTCAATACAATAAAAATTAAGTTAACACACACACACACACACACACACACACACACACACACACACACACACACACACACACACACACACACACACACACAATAAATACTTACGTGGATGAAGTCAAAGATCAGTGGAATTTTTTTTAAGTCCTTCTAGACGTCAGTTGTCTCTCAATGAGTTTTACGGCAGCGCCATTAACTTTGATCTTCGGCCACCGAGAGGCCAGACTCTCTCACAAACTTTCATAAATGTTCACAATCTTTATAACCCAAAGACTTTTGCATGCCGAGCACGTGCCAAGTTCCTTGAGAGAGTTTTATATGCAGCTTTCCCTCGATTTATACAAATCAGCCCATCTATCAGTAGATTACAAAGATTAGATATACTTATTCTCACCTCATATTTTAAATTCAACCTGTGAAAGCTGGGTTCAAAAAGCTGTCATTGGTTCCCTTTGCAGCACAGTAAGTAATTTCAGACTTTTAAACGATATTCAGCTGCTCTTCTTTCCTGCGACTGTCGACAGCTGTGGAGTAATACGACTTCTCTTTTTGGAGCTGTGATGCACAACAGTCCACACGCTGTTGTGGGAATCTTTGAGAGCACTACACAACTCATAGGCGACTCCTCGAATTCAGAACAAATCAGACAAGTTTGAGTGGTTTCATTTTGCTCACTAACCTTTACATATTCTGTGTTTCCTAACAAACCAGGATCTAAGTATCATCTGTGATGTGCATTCTTCTTTTTCCCTTCACCTAGTTCATCCCCATGCCTGTGCTGTATGGAGTCTTCTTGTACATGGGGGTCGCTTCTCTCAATGGAGTGCAGGTATCATTTTAATTTTTTTAAAAAACAAGCCACAGAAAAAATTCGACTAAAGAGAAACTGATCTGAAAAAACAAAACAGCAACAACAAAAAAACAACTACAATTACCATATTTCCACAAATTAGACTAGTCGGGGGGGGATATAACCCAGTTGTTTAAGAAATGGACGGTTAAATGGTAAAAACAGACACAGGAAGCGCTGAGTTGGCAAGGGGAGCGTGGAGGATGGTCCAGCTTTGAAGTAGCACATGTAATGTTATGCTTGTTGCGTCAGAGCTGCTGCATGTTTGTTCTGGTTTCCTTCATGTTAGAGAAGCAAGCCTGTGACACCATAGGTGCAGAGGCTCTTTGGATAGAAGGCCATCTGTGCATCAGCACAGACAGATGTGCTCAGAGTCGGAGAAACTCAAGCTGCCTTGCTGCTTTCTCCCCCTTTGAGGTAGTCACTCAGCACTTGTGTAGGATAAACTGCATTATGCTGTAAATTTAAGGATACCAGCTGGAAATGATTGGCTGAATCTTCACGCTTAAACATAAAAAATCCAAACATGCTGCAAATGATGCCCGGGTACCTTCGGCAGCCGATATCAGTAAAAGTCTCAGAATAAGGACTTGCATAGTTTCCTTTACTTTAGTTGCAGTGAAAAGCGGTGATGGTTACTGAAGCTCTGTCATATTAATTGGTACCACGGTCTCTCTGTAGTTCATGGATCGTCTTAAGCTGCTTCTAATGCCGGCGAAGCACCAGCCGGACCTGGTTTACCTGCGACACGTTCCTCTCCGGAAGGTCCACCTCTTCACTTTTATGCAAATCCTTTGCTTGGCTCTGCTCTGGATCCTCAAGTCCACCGTGGCTGCCATCATCTTCCCTGTCATGGTGAGACATCTTTTTATTGAGATGCTGCTAATTAAGTTTGCAGCATCCTAGAATGTATAGTTTTAATTAATATTAGTGAGTAATGTCTTGATGCACGCTCAATCACCCAGGTAAGTGGATCCCAAAAGGTTGATTCTGTTCATCTGGACGTTTTCAGTGTGAGAAACATTTTGTCACAGAAGAGCCACCTCGTCAGGCCAGGACTCTGCAGTCTGTTTACACCTGCAGGCCAGTGGACACTCTTTCCATGATGAGGATGTAACATCCTGGACAGGGAGGAACGCTGGTTTGAGGGCGGAGTCAAGGAGGCCATTTACGTGAAAAGGGAAAGACCCTGAATGGAGGAGGGGGCCTAAGGGTCCATCTGTCACCATCTTACATGCTGTGATTGCAGCCGTTCCCCGATTCTTTGATCAGTGGTCATGACAGTTAACATATTAACGATCAAAGAACTGACCTCACAGCACTTTGTTCATTCAGTGGTGCTGGTTTCAGTCATTGTGCAAATGTGCTGTTTATGAGAAACGTTTCTCACATTGAAAAGGTCCAGATGAACAGAATCAACCTTGTGGGATTAGTGAGTAATACTAACACCTTTTAGTATTATTGTAAGAGTCATATCACAGGCATCATCAGCAGAAGGACTCTGATCTAGGTACATAGGTATTGGGCAGATTCATAATGGCGTGACGAAAGTTTCATATCAGGACACATTTTTACAGCTTAAATGGAAAGTTCATTAACAGAGAGTTTGTGCTGTTTTAAAGCTAAGCAGGCACTATGTTCAGCATTACTCTCACCAAAGCAGGATTAAAGAGGCTGTGGCCAGAAATGCATTTTCAGTTCAAGTTCAAACCGTTTCTCGAAAGTTTGTTTTGTGTACGTAGACTTGAGTTTATCTGGGTGATAAATCAGCAGAGATCATCCCAGTACTTCATGTAACAGTTATATTGCAGGATGTTGTTATAAACTTCATTGAACGATAAAGTTTGTTGTACTTTTGATGTGTTTGATGTGTTAATGTGGGTTAATGTATTATTTTATTTGACAAATTACGTCGATTTCAGCTCATGTTTAAAAAAGAAATATCGATAGAATTAACGCTGACGTCTTTCTGTCAACGAATGATCTCAAAATCAGATCCTCGCTCTGGTCGCTGTCAGAAAGGGGATGGATTACCTGTTCTCTCAGCATGACCTCAGTTTCCTGGATGATGTCATCCCAGAGAAGGACAAGAAGAAGAAAGAGGATGATAAGAAGAAAAAGAAGAAACGTGGCAGCATAGACAGCGACGCTGACGACGTAAGTTTGGGATATGTTCATCTCTTACATTTCTAACTCACTCTTAGGTTTATTTGAGATTCTTCATTCTTAACTCTTTTTGTTTGTTTTCTGTTACAGCAGCTCATCCTAACTCGGGGTTTATGCACATTTCTTTCATTTTTAGGTTGTAGTTCTTCCAGTTAATGAACATGAGAATGTTTAAGAGGCGACATATGCTAAAATCATACCTTCACCGTGTAGAGAATGCCGTGGGTTTTATTCAAGCACTTTGCATTTTTAGATATTTGCAGCACAGAGTAGAGATCTTATTGCAAGAGTTTTGACTAAAGGCTAAACAGTGCACCTCAGCACAGTTATCGTTAACTAACAGTTAACGAGTCTCCTGCAGCCCAGTCTGTATGACTGCATAGTAAATGAGGTGAAAAACAGCCACACCCCTTTCTTTTGAATACATTTAATGAACTGTCGCTTTAAAAACAGATGAGTCTGTGACGCATCCGTGTTTTTCCACCCTCAGTGAGTTTGCTTACATTTACATTATGATTTACAATCACAGTGGGCATTAAAAAGTACAAAACCTTCATATGCATTGCTTTTAAAAACTAGACAATATTATTTTATGTCTACATGACTTTAAAAACATGTTGAAATTTCCACATATTTTTACTCCTGTGTGTTAACGCCATCGTCGTGCTGCATTCAAATATAATGAATGACTTTGCTCCAATTTCTACACTTTGCAGAGATGTGCAGTGGGCCCAGTTGGACCCTCTGGCAGGCTGCTCTGAATTATTCACTCATGACTGATTTTCTTGTAGCTCTGAACTGGATATGGCTGGAAACAAGCCGGTGAAGAGAAAAAAGAAAGTTTCCAATGATGATGTTTCCTCTCTCCAACAGTCTGACTTTCCTTACAATGAGAATATTCCCAGCATTAAAATCCCCATGGACATGATGGAACAGGAGCCCTTCTTAAGTGATAAGGCTTCTGACAGTGAGTAACTACCTGCAGCACCGGAGAAAACTACTTCTTGCGCCTGCCTAACTTGCCGTACTTAGTAAAGATGTGGTGCCTTTTTGTCTGTAACTGCATGATATTTAAATTTGCTTCACTTCTTTGCCGTTCTTTGTGCTTACTTCCTTTCAAACATGCATGAAAGCTGCTCGCTTTCTACCTCGTCCTGCTCGATTAACTTCTTTCCCCCCATCAGTTTCCATTTTCAGTTACGTGCTGTTAAGTCTGACTTTGTGGATCCTGCCTGTTTAAACATATTTAACAGTAACTTTAGTTTTATGTACAAAAGTCTTCTTGAATTCTAACTTTTGCCTTAATATATAACTAATGTGTGTTTGCTGAAGGACTAGTGTGTAGACTTAATTACATTTATTGGAGGTTGGAACTAACTGATTGGCCCTGCTTTTCAGAGGGTGTTGATTATTATATGTTTTAGGATCACTTCACCTAATAAAATCAAATAGAATACAACACAGCAGACCCTCTCCTGAGCTTTGTCTGGGCTGGTGTAGAAATATACTAGAACAACCTTTAAAGACTCTGTTGAAGCAGATAAAAGTATGATACACGCTGGATGGGGGAAAATAAATGACCCCAGTATCACACACTGGTCCTTTAGTATTAGAACAAATGCCTGTTTACAACATTAAATGAACTGACTGGTTTCTATATGTATTCATTACAGTATCTTTGATCCACACTGTGTTCCTGGTTTTACCCGCTGCTTTGCTCTTACAGATGCTATGACACACACAGGATGTCAAACATTAAAGTGTGTCAGAGGCTATCTACCAAGTTACATGGATATCTGTGAGCTAATGGCTGTTTTCTTTGGGGTTTTTTCGTAGGAGACAAGTCCTCATCATTCCTTGAACGACACACATCGTGCTGAGCAGCTTCGCTTCTACCAGGCCAACTACTTGTCCAGGTGAGACGTGTGTGTGTGTGTGGATATCAGAGTGTGTACAGACGGGAAGCTGAGAGCCACAGACTGTCACAGTGCAGCTCACCTGCCAGACTAAACAAAATGGCAACGAAACAAAACAGAGCCTCCACCAATTTCCTTTTGCATTTAATAAAGACAGTGGCATCAGAGATGGCAAAAGGTCAGAAGGCACGCTAACTATCCCCACGCGTAATGCTAGCCTGAACTTTAAAGGTCAGTTAGGCTAATTAGCTTACCTGTGGCTAAACTGTATTTTCCTCAAGGGGAAGCAAAGCGCTGGGCGCCATATGCCAGCTCGTCTGTCTGCCCCGTCATGCTGTTTGCATGCTGTATGCTAAAAAGTGAAAGGCTTCTGAATACTAGTTTTTTTGTTTTGTTTTTTTTTTGTTTTTTTCCCAAAGGGTTTTTACTCTGTTTTATTTCCTTCAGTAAAATAAAGGAGCTGCTTCAGTGAGACTTTTTCTTTTTTAGTGAGCTAATATTTTATTTAGTTTTTGGTTTACTTTTCCACAGCTTTAGAGATAAATAAAGTTTGTCCTAAACACATTTTGTGACTTAGTCTGTGTTTTACTCAAATTAACTGACATCTGTAGATGCTGGCTAACCTAAGCTGCCACGTAACTGCTAAGCCTTTTGAAAGACAGCAAACTGAAATCTTCCATGCTCGGCTGCAACTTG